GAGAGAGAGAGGATGAGAGTAGGAGAGAGAGAGAGAGAGAGAGAGAGAGAGGGAAAGAAAGAATACAAGCTAAATAGCTAAGCGAAAACATCATTGAGTTGGTTTCAACGAGATTCGCAATTGGTAATGAAGTTTATGATGATAAGTAAATTATTGATCACGTTTTACCCGGTCAAAGGTCTGCAAGCGACACAGTGACGTAACCAGGCGTGCTCCTTGTACGTATGAAGTAACAGGGTGCATGGTTATATGCGTTTGAACCATGTATTTGTAATGAACTGCCTCGTTAGCATAGCAATGTCACGCTAATACTTTTGCCTACATTTCTGCCGGCAAGCGGGCAACTGCCCTTTCACCCCCCCCCCCCCCCCCCCTACCGTGCCGCCCTCGGCGCCACCAACACATCGCGCGCAGTATCCATAGCCGAGCAAAAATAGCATTCGTTGTTCCAGCACGAGCGAGTCGAACGTAAACCTTGGTTTTCTTTTCGGGAAGGAGCTGTTCAACCGTACAGCGCATCGCGGTGCATTTAGAGAAGCCGGCTTCATTGTAGTGCAAGTGCATACTAGATCGTAGTGCGGCGCCTAAGTTGTCATGGATCTGCAAGACGATAGTCTAAAATCGGAGTGTTGGCTGCATTCTCCTGCGCGGTGTCTCGCAGTTATGCTTTGTCATGGTCTATGAAGGGCGATTCCGTTTTTTTTTCATGATTGCCTGAGCCGCTTTTGAAGACCGTTTACTTCAGGGGGGAGGGGGGAACCTAGTCGGAACTAGGTCTGGCAATCCCACGGTGACGTCACTATGGGAGTGCCCGAGGGCATTTACGCGTTTAAGTGCAAGACAAGACTGATGTTTTGACAATCATTCTCGAGTGCTACTAAGGCGTTTTTTCAACGGAAAGGGTCTCAAGACGTTTATTGGTATGTCTCCTAGCCATACCCGGAGACAAAAAAGCTGTGGCTAGTCACATATTCCAACACAAGCCAGGATCACTGTACCATGCCCTGCATCCAATAAAGGCGACTTTTATCACAATGTGGCGTGGTTATCAGCCTTACTGTTGCATATTGTTTCGGACGTGCGGTCCAGATGCGGGCTGTTTCCAACCGGCGACAGGTATAGACCAAGTAAGCTGAATGCAAACGATATATTTTAGTGTTCAACCAATACGAAGGCGACAACAGTTGTTTTCAATGCTAAAAAAGGCACCTGGCATTTTCAGAGCCTCATGACCTGAGGCGTCGGAAGGGCAGATGCAATGTAATTTTACCTGGTGTCTGTAATAACAATGTCTGGAGCGCTTGTAATCACGTGTATAGGGTCGAAAACGATAGTTTCCACTAAGTCCATTCTTTGAGATATTGGAAATTACGTCCCCAAGCTATGGGAAGGTTTGCAACAGTCATGTTTGCGCTCCCAGCAGTCATGTTTGCACTCATGGCCTCTAAAACGTCAGCTCTCAACGCCACAACACAGCACATGGGTGTACACCAGCTCAGCGGAGGAGTCCACCTCCGTTACATCGGTCGGATTTGATTTATACACCGTGCAAAGGTCCGCATAATGTTCGTCACGCGTGAGGTAACGCACAGCATGTCCCGCGCAACCGCCAGGAAGGTGCTGAGAGTAATGAACACTGTCGCCTACCTTCTCTAGTGGGCTGCCGGTGTCGCTATGCCACAAAACCGCCGCATTGGGAGCAGCCAGGTCACAGGAGACCATCTCAGCCCGGTAACATAATATCGCCACCTGTTGCTCCAGCGCAGTCAGGTCCAGAGGAGAGACTTCCGCTCCAGCGTAGTCCGGTCAGATGACGGGCCTCCTCCTCCGGTGCAGCAGATGACGAGCCGCCTCCTTCAGTGCAGCAGATCATGGGCCGCCTCCTCCGGTGCAGCTGGGCCACCGCCCACCTTGCAAACTGACGCCTCTTCAGCCTCTCGCGGTGCTGCAGAGTTTCCTTTTGGCGCATTCGGTTCAGAACGCTGAGCCTGATGAGCGTGCATAGCCGAACAAAACGGCAAACCATCCGGACATCCAGGGGAACTGGCTCCGTGCACAGGGTCGCTACTCGATGACTCTCGACTCTCTCGGCTCTCTCGACTCTCTCGACTCTCTATCGACTCGATGACTCCCGGGTGGCGGGAGAGTCGGTCCGATTCGAGATGGTGACGTGTGCAGAAGGTCGACTTCATGGTTTTGAACTTCTCCATCCACTTGGTGGTTGGGACACTCATCCCGCCCTGGCTGAGCAGCCGGGTCCACACGGTCTGGACTGGCGCTGTTTCCGCGGCAAACGCTGAAGGAGTCCCGAGGCTGGGGTCGACTTTTCGGCACTTGGCTGACAGGCAGCCGGTCGCATGGGCCATCCCATACTGCTCGGCCGAGACGCCAGTCTTGGGGTCTGTTGGTGATACAGTGGAAGGCGATGGGGTCGGTCGGCTTTGGTTGGTTTCTTCCAGAAGCGACTCATGTCGCCGGTGGTCTGCTGATCCTTGACAAGATGCTCCTGCAGGAAATCAGCGAGGATGGCGCGGCCCATGGGACCACCGTCTTCTGCTCGTGGTAGGGGTGCGGCCGATGGCAGGCGCTGCGTCAGTGAGTTCAAGCCCTGCCTCAGTGCGTACATCAGCGTCAGGCTGCGCACCCGACACTTTGCTTCGCTGGGACCTGGGTGCGGGCTCGAACCCCTCTCCCACGCACCAGCCCGAAGTACGATTCAAGAATATCTTGATTTACTCGGCCCGGCATGACGTAGGTATCCGGGCCAAGGACAGACACAAGGTCACCCACAAGACCCCGCATGGACTTGACAGTGACGATGGGTCCTTTCTGGAACGGCAGGAGCGAAGTTTTCTCGCCAAACGTCAGCAACATGGCCGCCTCCATGTCAGCCAGCGCCGTGTAGTGTGCCGCACTGTCAGGGTTCATGCCACGGCGGAGCTCTTTCAAGTCTGTGGGACACTGCCCGTTAAGGGCGTCGAAGCCGTGGTCAAACACGCGTAGGTACTGCGCCTCTTCATGCCGGTTCGTAAAGGTGTCGATAGCTGTCGCTACGGACTCGCTGAGGATTTGGACGGCTGGGCGAACTCCCTGACGTTGCTGTCCGGTCTGTCCAGTCCAGTCCTGGGATTAAACAGAACAAAATTAGCTGATTTGTTGTCACAAAACGTTTCGTGGTTACAACATTAACTATTAAGGTCCAAATGCATCGATATCATTTTCATCGCATTACGTTATCATCGCAGATAACTATCACATTACAACCGGGGAAAATCGTCTGTACCTCCAGATGGCTTTCCACGCCAAGCTTGGGAAGGATCCTTAACTCCTTGTCGCCGTCAATGGCCAACACGTAAGCGAACAGCTGTTTATTAATTCGACCGCCGTTGGGAAGGCGCAGGCCGTCGTTAAGCAGGTGGTTGCGGAGCAGCTTGTAAAGGTGGGGCGTGTCCGCGAACATCTAGATGTTGCTGAAATGAGTTTATTCGTGTCAACTTTCTGAAAGATGCATTGCTAGGACACATGAAAAAGTTGACGGGTATGCACATGGCATGGTTATAACTGGTTGCGATACGGCAAAACACTTTTTACTGGTTGGGATAAGGCAAATCATATAGATATATTTGAAGCAATTGAGACAGCCTCGAATTGTGCGCCTCATCTTAGGTAAACTCGGTAAATATACACTCTTCAATATGCGTGCAATCTGTGACAACGCACATAACCCACATTGCGGGATGATACATAAATGATTGCAAATAAGTGTAGTGCTAGAGATTCTTGTCCGCAAGCTGCCATTCGTCACACGTATATGCGGTTACCGGCGACACGCGACTAAGTCGAGCAGGTATCAATTCTTACAAAGGGTGCACATTGTCAACCATACTAAATGCGTACTCAGGTGGAAACAGAGGTCAGTTAAAGGTCACTCGTTGCACCGGGCCGCGTGACTTAACACATCATATTCGAACAGGATGTGGGCAGGATGTGACTCACATATCGTTAACAAACGTAGGTCATGAGGCGACAGGAATCAAGGCATAGAGGAAAATATAATGGTACCTGCTAGTCAGTAAAAAGGACCTTTAGTTTGGCTCGGTAGTGGGCTGCCACCTCCAAGCACTTGGCCTCGACCTCTTCCGTCTTGCGGTTCAGACAGTTCGTTAAGTCGGAGATCTTCCGTCGAAGCCTGGCCAGTTCGTCGGGATCGGGACAGGATGGACCAGGTAGTGGACTAAACGAGGCATAAAGGACACCATTTGCAGGCTTTTGGATAAATGAGTTTGGACACATGCGCATTGTACAAGCAAGCGAGCCGCTGCCGTCAAAACTATGCGTGATCTAACTTTGAAAACTACATCAGCGTGTCGGCCGATTCGTGTCGGCGGTCGCCGTGGGCGTACTGGCGTGGATTTTGTTTTCCGACATTCACAATTGATGCGGCGATGTCGGCGCCTAATATAACAGCCGCTGCTGTCGAAAGCATTCATAATCTGGCGTTGAAAACCACATTGGCGTATTGGTCGACTCACTCTATGCCACACGTTTGTTGGTCGCATTTTCACACATGTCGCTCGCAGATCAGCCTAGATTAGTGGGCTGCATGGCAGCTTTTTGCGCCGCGACGGAACGGCGCCGCCCGGTGACCCTGCTGACGCCGGAGGCTGCTTCAAGGTTAAACGGTCGTCTGATCACGTGATTGGCTGCCGTAATTCAATGCCTCCGACCGATTATGCCATCTTGCACCAAAACCTAGACACCGGCGGGGCTGCGGCGACACAGGAATGACGGTGTACCATGCGAAATGGTGCGGTCACACGTGTCACGTGACATGGGCTCAATGGTGGATTTTGCTCTCTTCCACGGGTTCGCGCGTTTTGTGCCACATCTCGACACCCATGGCACGAATACACGCGGGATTGGGCGCACTTCGATGATGAATGGAAAGAGCGAGATGGTGTTTCACTCAATCCATGGCAAGGGGTAATGCTGTATAATACAACGGCAGTGCTACCATCGTTCAAAAGGCTGACAGTTGATGGATGGGCAAAAATCACCGGCACACACCCCAGGACCGTTCGCTCATCCCATGGATAGGTTTGGCTGTGTTTGCAGAGAGCGCGGCGAAATGCGCTCGCCTCCTGCAGCGGCCGCCAGACCGCAGGTACCACCGCGTGAGACCGCGGCCGAGTCTAGACACAACAAAACAGAGTGCTGGAGCAGGTATTGCAATAAAACCTACAAACCAAAATGTTAATCTTACTCCTTCTGTATCTCTCTCTCCCAGGGTTCTGGATAGGTCTTGCCTCCACTTTGAGACGTGTTGAGGGGTTTGCCATGGGGTCCTTCCCCGGGTTGAGCAGCTCATACTTCAGATCACGTACATAATCTCCCGGAGAAAAGTGAAGGTAGCAAACTACAGTGTTTTTGTTGGTATTGATTTCATCCCTCTTAGCAGCCTTGATTCAGCCTTCGGCTGCTTTTTTGGCACTTGGTAAAGAGTGAACAATGACATTGGGTGGCCTCACGCTTTTCTCATCTCCTGTCTTGCGATGAGAAACCAGACAGTATCTTTCCATTTTTTTCAAGCTTAACACCTTCAAAATCTGCAAGCGTGTAATGTAGGTAAGCTCACTGATATGACTGTTGATAACTTTTTTAGATTCTTACCTATGTTAAAATTCAATGCTAAGGTATGGTAATGAGGAGTTCAATTGGAACCTGAAGCTGTCACCTTGTCTTTGTGTTGCATATAGACGTTGCCCAGACCTTAGCCGTGATACGTGATACGTGAACAACCGTGATAATGCTTTGGCAGTGATTGTAACTCATCAAAATTGTGTTAAAATTCCATCACTTGTACTTTTATTGATTAAAATTGGTATATAGGTGCCCTGAGGCCAGCATTGCCCCAAACCTAGTATATTTTGGTATATATCCTGCCGCCCTACCTGTTGTTATAGGGCCTTGGTTTACTTCATAGATACCACCGTTATTGCTGTTGGTTGTTGCCAGGCGACGAGCTGCACGCAAACCATATGATAGTGGTTTAAATGTCATCTTATTATTCATTGCAAAGCACAATTTCAATGTGTTTGCAAAAAGACGCATGGCAGGCAGTGTGCAATACAAAATAAATCACTTCGTAGTGATGCCTGCAGTTTAGTGATTCTTTTTCCGAACGTTGGCTTGCCCGTAACTTGCCCGGTTTACCTAAGTTTGTCTGGTTTATCCTAAGCCACTTTACAGCTGATGCCCCTTTTTCAATTGCACACGACTGCCAGCTATTCAGCATGGGTGTTGGCGATCTAGTTACATTAGAGAGAGAGAGAGAGAGAGAGAGAGGGGATATAGATATATATATATATATATATATATATATATATATATATATATATATATATATATATATATATATATATGTATATATCGTATGAGTGCAATATCTAACCCGTCAAACGACAAGAGCGGCCAAGCCATCCTGCCTACATTTCTTTTGCAATCAAACCATACTGATTGATATGTGCCGCCTTTTGCTTGACTCACCTGGGTCAAGACCAAAGTTGCTTTGCAAAGAACGACCCTGAAATGAACCAAACTTTTGTAGCGTGACGATATGATGACTGCCTTGTACGCAAATTTTAAGATCTAGGTCGGTTGGTATCGCGCAATATCCAGATTATTTCAAACGCATTTAACTTAGTCTTGCAAGGGAGCGGTAGCACCCTCTGCCATGCCGTGATCATCCTTGCCCTACAAACTTATGAGAACTCCATGAGTGTGGCATGGCCGAGAATTTACCTGGGTTCAGCTCTTTTGAATACCATCCATAAGATGTCTTAAGATAGGCCGCGAACGGAATTTTTCAAGACGCGTGGTTCCTATGGGTTTCTCTGTGGGCAGCGATGTATCAACATCGCCAACCAGAAACGTGCTATCCTCGCATCGGGGTTCTGTCCTGCTTGGGTTTTTTCTGTGTGGAATAACGTCGAACATTTCGTAACTCATCCGTTTTTCCTTTTATTTTCCATGCACATGGTGTCTCAGACCGAGAGTTCCGTCAAAGTTGAGAGGACTAGGCTGCAAGTTGGAAAACAGAGGGGGATCAATCTCAAGATCTACATCTAAATACGATTTGACATCTCTGCCCTCGATACCAAAAAAGTTTTTGGCGCAAGCGCTGAAGTCGGCGGGTGTAAAGGGCCACGCCGTTGAGCCCTGGCTCATACTGCTGCTCATGTCGGCGCTTCTATTTCAATCTGCTGCATCACAGTGCGGATAATCATCTTCCCTATTCTGTTTTGCTTTGGGTGACATTTAGTACAAATTGCATGTCAATATATTTAATATTTCGACACATACTACAGCCGCGTCATCCCGCGCCAGTACACATCTACTCTGACAGGGCAATGCCGGCTTGTGCAGAAGGCTTTGTTCCGTCCATGATCACCTACCGTCCCCGACATTGCCAACGCCCTGGATGTCAGAACAGGAGCGGGTCGGAGCAGGCGGAGCCGGCCACACTCAGGTCCGTCCAGCAGCGCCACTCGGCCCGGGTCTGCGCTCGCTGGAGGAGCGCCGCCGGCAGCGCCATCTATTCTCAGCGTCCCGCCGTCCCTGCCTCCCCGGCCTGGCGTCGGTGACGAGAAGGCACGCGCTCTCCGAGGACGGACCTCGCTGGAGACATCCGCATCATACCAAACAAGGCGCGGTCCGGGACTGCCCGTCCGTCCCGAGCCACGGACGTCAAGGCAGGGCTCAGGCCCACCAGAGGCCAACATGACCCGGACTCAGTGACGTCACTCCCTCGTGGCACGAGATGCGCCCATCGTTCGCCAACCTCATCCCAGTGACGTCATCGCACATTACCCGGACCACGCGCCATCTTGCGACACCGATGAACACGTGAACGGTCGGGCTAGGGGTCGCAGGGGTCACAGGGGTCGCAGGGGTCGCGGGGGTCGCGTGGCTCGACGGGACCCCCGCTCGACATCAGAGATTCTGCAGGCGGCGCCTCCGCGCTTTTCCGGTAGCGCGGGCGGGAGTCACCACACCGGACAGCGCGAGGTCCACGGGCCACAGCCGCGTCCTTCACGAGAGGATGTCTTCATCGTCGCTGTCCCTGGCCAGTACTGCCTGCGTCAACACCTCGCGCATCGCCCGCTGGATGGCGCGGAAGCTTTCGGGACCGCCGACAGATGGCTCTGTCGGCGCCGGCGTCGGGTCGACCAGCGATGTCGCTAGTATCACGGAGTTCTCGTGCAGGAAGGCCGCGCGCCGGATATGGTTCCGTGCGCAGCGGCGAATGGCAGCCAGGTTCTGGAAGCGAATCTGTGAGTCAGGTCTATCCTTGCTAAGACTTTCTGCACCGAAAGTCTCGACAACGGGTGGCGAAGCTGGAGCCCCTTCAAATCCAATCAAAATCCTCAGGTATGCATGCGACGTCCGTATTAACCAACAATGGCGGGTCTAGACGCCAACAATGTCCATCGCTTCGATTGACAAGAATACAAGCCATACCCGTGTTGATTGACGACACAATGGCGTCATGACTTTGGCAGGATGGGACAAAACAGTGAGACGCATCAAAGCTTACACTTTCCCTGACGTTGTCGCGCAAGCCAACACACTACCCATCTGCGAATGGTGACCCGCTAGCCCAGGTGGTACTGACAGGGCTGAGACTGAGAGCCAGACTGAGAGTCAACCGGACTGGGATGCGCAGAGCTGAGCCTGAGAACCCCAGATGGCTGAGACTAAGCCTGAGAACCCAGGTGACCAGGTCTGAGGATCAAGATGACTGTGTCTAAGAACTCTGATCAGTGAGTCTGAAAACCCAGATGACTGAGTCTGAGAACCCAGATGACTGAGTCTGAAAACCCAGATGACTGAGTCTGAGAATCCAGATGACCGAGACTACGAACCCAGATAAATGAGCCTGAGACCTAAGATGGCTGAGACTGGTGGCTCGGAGGCCGGCGACAGGCTCACCTGCCGCAGCTTCTTGCGGTTGTTGTACGTCTGCCAGCCGGCGGCGATGCGGCGGGCGGCGCAGCGGCGGCGGAAGCTCAGCACCACGTCCTCCATCTCGATCTCGCGTCGTCTCTGGGGACGCCAGCAGCGGTCACGGTCCGGCGCGGAGCAGGAGGACCCCGGACGGTCGCCAGGAAAGTCCTCACACGAGGACAGGAGAGGCCCACACCGGCTGGAGCGGAACGGTACTCAGTGGCGGGGAGTCTGGAGACACGGGCACTCAGTGGCGAGGAGTCTGGAGACATGGACACTCAGTGGCGGGGAGTCTGGAGACACGGACACCCCGAATGCGTGGAACCTGGAGAGGACGCTCCATTGGTGCAAATGCAGGCGGACAGTGGAGGTCCCGCACTGCACTGCAGGGCGGAGCCCGTCGCCGCAGATGTGACGGCCGTCGCTATGGCAACGGCGATGGCGGATATGGATGCCTCTCGGCTCCTCTTACTCCCACTCACCCAAAGCTATACAGCATACGTTCATGACCTGCATCCAACGCCAAAAGACAAACAGAGCTCAATTTAACAACGTTGATTCGCGAACGACGCGCGGAGGCTAACAAGCGCAGGAGCAAAACGCGGCGTGTTTGGCCGCAGGTCACCCAATGGCAGCTTCTCATGTACTTGCATTAAATACAGCTCAGATATCCAACGAAGACGCGAACCACTCGGCGCTAAAATATGCGCATGTGTCATAATTTACGACAGACAACAGCAACGCACTGCAACATTGTTTATTCCACATGTGCCGTGAACCGCAACGCCACGAAGACATAAATACGCAAGGCGCAACAGTTTTCACGCCATTCATTCGCATCATGAACGAAGCCCGGACGGGAGGGCACACTGATACTGCCGATTGGCTGATGGCAGGCTCATTGACTAATTTTAGAGCTAGCATCCCTGGTACCGTCGCACGCCCTCCCACTCAGCAGCTGTCCGATCAATGCCACCTCCACCGAAGGCCGAGTGGGAGCCGGGGCAGGCGATGGGCTTGCGTGCAGCGCCACGTCAATATATTAGACCAATCAGCAGCTGCGTTTCGGCGAGCCATCCACCAATCACAGAGCTGACTGAGTGGGACCGAAGACCGTCCGTGTCGTCCCAGGCAACAAGTATAGCCGAGCGGGCGGCGTTACGTCAGGCGACGGTCCATTCCTGCCAGACGGCTATGGCCAAGACGAAGGTCGTGGTACTACGTCGACAAAGAAAGGAGGAAGGCGCTACCATGTTACAAGAATGTCATCATGACTCAGGCTCGTTTCCTTGACATTCCAAATGCTAGACCTGCTGCCCTGGAACTTCCCCCGCGGGGTAGTCGTTTGTTCGTTTGACGGGAATGGGAGGCGTGACAGACAGCTGGCGCGGAACCGTCGCTCGGGCAAACGGTTCAATAACTCATCAGTACAATAGCTAAGCCCTTCACTCAGGGCATGCTGTGGGTGTCTAGCCGGACGTCGCAGCAGGGCCGGCGGACCCACCACGCGAGCGATACGAGCACCGCACCTGGCAACCACGCCCGTCAGGTAATCAACTGCCCCAGTTACCGTGGACAGGGCTTTCATGAAGCGCCGCCCGCTCGGGTCACTTTACCCACCGCTTCCTCCATCCAGACTGGCATCGTACTCAGCTCGACACCGCCTGCCCAGATGCTGCACGGTGCCCAGGGGCGCACCTTTGTCGCACTTCACCAGCCCCCCCCCCCCCCCCCACGGCCAATCAGCCCTCCCCGAGCGCCCCCGCCTCCAGTCGGCCTCATTAGCGTATCGAACCCACGGCGGCCGGCGAGCGCGCCGCGCGGCCAGTCGCCGGATGGGTTTCCGATGGGGCGGCGCCGCTCGTGCCTCGCGCGCGGGCCCTAAATCACGCCGCGGACCGGACCGGACGCCGGTCACCGCCGGCCCCGCGGGGGGGGGGGGAGGCGCACAGGAGCCAGGGCGGCGCGCCGGGACGGTCCGCGGGGCGGGCATCGCCGGTCCCGGGGAGGGGGGCGCACGGCAGCCAGGGCGGCGCGCCGGGACGGTCCGCGGGGCGGGCACCGCCGGTCCCGGGGAGGGAGGCGCACAGGAGCCAGGGCGGCGCGCCGGGACGGTCCGCGGGGCGGGCACCGCCGGTCCCGGGGAGGGGGGCGCACAGGAGCCAGGGCGGCGCGCCGGGACGGTCCGCGGGGCGGGCACCGCCGGTCCCGGGGAGGGGGGGCGCACAGGAGCCAGGGCGGCGCGCCGGGACGGTCCGCGGGGCGGGCACCGCCGGTCCCGGGGAGGGAGGCGCACAGGAGCCAGGGTGGCGCGCCGGGACGGTCCGCGGGGCGGGCACCGCCGGTCCCGGGGAGGGGGGCGCACAGGAGCCAGGGCGGCGCGCCGGGACGGTCCGCGGGGCGGGCACCGCCGGTCCCGGGGAGGGAGGCGCACAGGAGCCAGGGCGGCGCGCCGGGACGGTCCGCGGGGCGGGCGCCGCCGGTCCCGGGGAGGGGGGCGCACAGGAGCCAGGGCGGCGCGCCGGGACGGTCCGCGGGGCGGGCACCGCCGGTCCCGGGGAGGGAGGCGCACAGGAGCCAGGGCGGCGCGCCGGGACGGTCCGCGGGGCGGGCACCGCCGGTCCCGGGGAGGGAGGCGCACAGGAGCCAGGGCGGCGCGCCGGGACGGTCCGCGGGGCGGGCACCGCCGGTCCCGGGGAGGGAGGCGCACAGGAGCCAGGGCGGCGCGCCGGGACGGTCCGCGGGGCGGGCACCGCCGGTCCCGGGGAGGGAGGCGCACAGGAGCCAGGGCGGCGCGCCGGGACGGTCCGCGGGGCGGGCACCGCCGGTCCCGGGGAGGGAGGCGCACAGGAGCCAGGGCGGCGCGCCGGGACGGTCCGCGGGGCGGGCACCGCCGGTCCCGGGGAGGGGGGCGCACAGGAGCCAGGGCGGCGCGCCGGGACGGTCCGCGGGGCGGGCACCGTCGGTTCCGGGGAGGCGTCGTTTCGGAGCCAAGGTCTCCGACAGAGCGACGCCCGCGGTGGAGGTAACGGGGAGAGGGGGAGGGCTTCACGCGGTCAAGAAGCGCCAAGACCCCCCCCCCCCCCTCCACATTGTGGGGTGTTAACTGGCAAGATGAGCCGATCGGCGGCTGTGATAGGCTGACTGACCCCTCTTACTGCTATTGATAGCAGATATAACATAAACGTACTTTGGGCGGGATATCTCAGCCTCTGAGGATACCTTCAAGGCCAAGGGGAGACGGCGGACCGTGGGGCATTGTATCCGACACCCGACACGTTGCATTGGACCCGACTCCCTGCACTGCAACATATGCGTGCAGCCCAGTCGCTGTGAGGTGTAGCACTAGACGACCACTCTGACCCAGACAGCGCGTGGGGTCCGCCAACAGGTGCCGGATCGATAGAGACCGCACGAGCCGCCACGAGGAACGAGACGCTTCCAGCCAGGCCAACATGCCGGAGGACGACAGCTGGCCTCCACCGGTCAGCGACTTCAACGAGCCGCCCGGCGGGCCACGCCCTTTCTGGGACGCGTCTCTCAGAAGTGTCGCGTGGCCGGGGGTCTGCGATCCCGAGCGAGTGCGGCGCTTGGGCGCCAGCGCCGGCGCGGCCAGTGAGGCCAGTGACGGCTGTCCGCGTGGGCTGCCATCGGCGGAAGAGGCCGAGGTCGCTGTTGGCTCTCGGCGTGGACACGACTCTGCGCCTCCGGCCTCACGCCCTGTGGACGCTCGACCGACCCATGCTCAGCTACCCCGCACGCTGTCATTCGTTGCACGCTGTCCGCCAAAGCGACCCACTGTCACCGAGTATTTCAGGGGTGCTGCTGACTATTAAGCGCTTTCCAGACACGTGGCCGAGAGCGGCCGCCTTGGAAACTAATTTGCTACGTTTCCGATCGTTTCCATGACCGCTGCGGCCATTTTAACTCAATAGGGACAATCAATCGCGATCACGGAAGTGGGCAAACAGAACATCATTACCAAGAGTCCAAAAAGTCACGCAACTCGCCGACTCTGAACGGGTGGGGATGTCGACCTCCGAGTCATGTTTGACGCGGACTGCAATCCCAGCGTGACTCAAGAAATCATTCAATCACGGACAATCGGCTGGGTGGCTCTTTTTAACGGCGACAGAACAGGAACTAGCACAGCCCACACGTGAACAGCCTCGCACTCTCCGAACCCACACCAGCCCTCTGAGCATCGCGTGTCTTTCATGACTAACAGGCTACGTTTGATAAAGCATATCACACCTCAAGAATGAAGCGCACCCAAAACTGCTCGAGTCCAAGGCGCGCACCGAGAACTCACCAGCCCCGCGTTCAGCGTCACACATGAGCCGCACATGCTGGGTCACGCATCCTCGGGAGCATCGAATCTGCCCAGAGCAGCGGTGGAGGCCGCTATTGATTACACTCCGGCGCCATCACCACAGCAACCTCGGCGTCGCCAGAACCCGCAGGTGACGGCTCAAGGGCGGGTCCGACCCACGCAGCCAGCTGCCACTTGGGTGTGGACGGCTCGTGGACGACTTCGGTCTCGTCTCGTCTCGTCACGTCACGTCACGTCACGTCACGTCACGTCACGTCACGTCACGTCACGTCACGTCACGTCACGTCACGTCACGTCACGTCACGTCTCGTCACGTCACGTCACGTCACGTCTCGTCTCGTCACGTCACGTCACGTCACGTCACGTCACGTCACGTCACGTCACGTCACGTCACGTCACGTCTCGTCACATCTCGTCACGTCTCGTTTCGCCACGTCACGCAACGTCACGTCTCGCGATCGGTTTGCAGACTGCGCTCAGTGGCTCGCCGACGCTGATAAATTAGAGGCATACCTAATGAGACCGCCCTGGCATAGCGTAAGGATCGGAAAATGACCATTTGCTCATCGAGTCAGTCGATACCAGTACAAAACCAGCGGCAGCTGGAGACGAAGTGAAAGCCGGAAAGGAGTGCACGTGACAATGTGGTTGGATGGAATGTGACGCAATATAACTTTGTTAATATACATTGATATTACTCAACCAATAGTTCCTTGACTTAAACCAAGCGCCAAAAACCAAAGAAACTGTCATTAGGATACCTGAATGCCCCCTCACGTCCAATGCACCTCATGTGGAAAATACTCCATCTAGCTTCTATTATAACCCTCGTGAACATCTACCAAATCCGGAATATCAAATGTGTTTGCCATGCCACACAGATATTGTTACACTTCACCCATAGCGGAAGACCAAACACCTGCTGAAGTGTACACCCCATGTGTGGTGTTCAATTCTTTCATGCCCTAGCAAAACCAGGTGTGCCACGCTCCCAATGGAACACCCATACACGCACATATTCTCCATCGTTGAACGACACGAACCCCGACGGCGGTGACCGCACCCCTCCTTTCCAGCGGGTTTAAATTACTCCACCCCGGTGTACGCCACCGCCGCGGTACACCCCGGTGACGTCGCACCCACCTTGTACTCGCGCCAGCCGCGCTGCAGGACCCGTGCCGCTAGGTCGCGTCGAATCTCGGCCAGCCAGCTGACACGCTCCAGGTCCTTGCGGCGCCGCTGCTCGCGCTGCAGCTGGAGCTCCACCCAGGTCTTGATGACGTCCTCGGCGCTGGTGCCGCCGGCGCGGGGCTCGGCCGCGCGCCGCTCCTCGGCCGCCTCGCCCGACGCCGGCTCCGGCGCAGGCGGCGCGTCCTGCCGCTCCTCCGCCTTCGGTTCCGACTCGGGCGCCGTTTCCGCCTCCGCCTCAGAGTCCGCGGCGGCCGCCAGCGCCAGCGCCGCCGCCTCGGCGACCTCGTCCTCAGCGGCCGCCGAGCCGGGCCCGTGCAGCCGCGGGCCGCCGTCAGCGGCGCGCGGCGCGTCGCCGCCCTGCGGCGGGCCGGCGCCGGTCGTCGCGCGCCGCAGCTCCGCCTGCAGACGCTCCACCTGCGCCGCCAGCTCGGTGTTCTGTCGCCTGCCGGCACACGGCGCGGGGTGGCGACGCTGGGCGGCGGCAGCTCGCGACGAAGCGTCGTTTGCGGCCGACGCAATCAGCGGCTCTGCGTGGGACACCCGCCTCAGCATCGCGATGGTGAATCGCCCAGGGTCATAATGGGAGAACATAAGGTCCCTCAGGCCGCTGGACCCCCATCATACGGCCCCACAGGCCGACCGGGTCAATGCCACACGTCCTCACCCTTCATCGGAGGCCCTTTCCCACCGCACGGCACGTCCGCACCGAGCAACGACGCACGTCCGCTCCGGCCCCCTGCCGCCAGCCAGGCCCGGGCACGTTTCGCTTCCTACGCCCACTGCACGGCACCCGCGCGGGCCGCAGCACGACGCGTCCCCCCCCCCCCCCCCGGTGACCGCGAGCTCGTCGCGTCGCGGGCCTCTCTCACTGTGTGGCGGCGTCGGCGGCCTGCGTCTCGCGCTTCCAACGCTGCACGGCCGCCCTGTACTGGTCCCGCTCCTGCTCGGCCGCCGCCCGCCGCCGCTGCTCCTCCTGACGCCGCTGCTCCTCGTCCTGGCGCCGCCGCTCCTCCTCCTGACGCCGCCGCTCCTCCTCCTGACGCCGCTGTTCCACCTCCTCCTGAAGCGTGACAGCGCCCAGGGCAGCACGTCAGGGGCGAAGCTCAGAGACAGGGACGGCGGCCGGCGACACCCAACAGCTCACGGACAGGAATCGGAAACACAGCTCCCGGATAGAGCCGCGAGAGACGGAACGGCACACAAGTATGGAGCGTGGATACGGGATTCAGGGACAAAGTCCAGGGGGATGCATCACGAACAGCGCCTTGGAATAGCAGCGAGGGACGAAGACGGGGGACCGCTGTCAGGGAGTGCGCTCGGACAGCTCCCAGGACGACGCAACGACAGAAGTCCCGGGAAGCTGTCCAGCACGAAACCGACCGCAATCCCGGCGTGGTAAAGCCGCGCAGCAATTTGCCGGCCCACTGCTGGGGCGAGACCGCGTAGTCAGCGGTCACACACACCGCCCGAGTTCAGCACGGTCCACTGAGCCGCGCCTGCAAGCCGCCGACACGCGCCCGTCTCACCCGCCGCGCTGGTGGCGGATGACCTGACCTTGGCCCGCTGGTGGCGGTTGACCTGCTTCAGCACCAGCTGGTAGTCGGCCGACGAGCGCGTGACACGCGCCTCCATCGACTCGACGGTCAGGATCAGGTCGGTCCGGCTGCTGGCCTGGTACTTGACTGCAACAGGGGCGCCTGATGAACGGGCCACGCGCTGTGGCGGCGCTCCCTGCGCGCTCAAGTCTGCTACACCGAGGGGGGGGAACCCCACCGACTGGGATCGGGCAGTGGCTCAGCAGGGAGGGGGGGGGGAGGCGGTGGGAGCTCTACATCGATCACTTCAGTGCAGACAGGGCACCTTTTGGTCACGATGTCACGGAATCACCACGTTCGCAAATTGACGGCGCATATCTGAGGTTCCTGCAGCATTCTGCCGGTTACGAGTACTACTTGACCTTACGTCACCATTCGAGCGTGACAGCGTTTCTTTACGTAACAGTCTGCGCATTACCGAGAAGGTGCTGAATATAGAGGGGAAGCTTTGGCACGTACTAGCGACCCAGTCAGCAGTGTCACCAAGGCAATGAGCCAAGAACTGGAGCCTGAGGCAACGTTCTGACGAGCCACGCGCAGGGCGAGCAAAAAACGAAGCAAGGAAGACGACAGCGTAGCGTGACAGTTTCAGTCACGGCACGTCGCCCTCCCGTTCGTGATACAACTGTCTGTAACTGTTCCGCATCACATTTAAGCGCAGATAATTACGGTCATCACCATAAACCACCATCAAGCAAAACCTTTTCTGCACGAACAGCCGAACAAAACAAACATGAAAATCGATGCCAATAGCCACAGAGACGGGCCGCCGTGGGCACGCAGAGGCCGAAACCGACGGCATCTACCACACAGCCACCGGTGCGGCGCGTGACGAGAGCGCGACGCGTGACGAGAGCGTGACGCGTGACGACGGCGTGACGGGGCGGCGGCCGTGCTCACTCACCATCGTCCGACCGGTTGCCGACGCGCCGCGTGCAGTGAACGAAACTGGAAAACACGGAGTCGAGGTCCAGGCCAGAGCGCGGCGATCGAGCCACAGAGCGAAGCCCGTCGACGGAACGGAAGCGGCCCAAATGCACACCAGGCTGGGAGGTAGAACACGCGTTGCTGCAAACCGTGGCTGGGTGGCGGAGGTGCCGGCCAGAACAGGGCAGTGAGGCAGAAAAGGCTCGCACTGTGCAAAATAGCGGAACAGTGAAGAAGTGACACAAGACACCTTCGTGAAAGCGAGAGCAAGTAAATGTAATAAAAAACAAAACAATGAAAGTGGCAGAAGGATACCATTGTGCAAGTGAAACAAAAATGCAGCAGCAACATTCAGACACCAACACAACAACAACAAAACACGCGATCAAGCCACGATGACAACAGAATACGATCTTGCTGATGTCTCCACCAGCACAAACGCGTGTCCGAACGAGACGCCCTGCGGATCAGACGCCCCCCCCCCCCCTTCAACCTCCCCCACCTCGGGCTGGTGGTCTGAACATCAAACGCCCCACGCCACAATAGTGGGCGACCCTTCTAGAGGTCGGGTTGACCCCGGCCCACTCTAACGTTACGGTGATCCCCGAGCCGGTCATCCCGGGCCGGTGAGCCGCACCAGCCGGCCGTGGTCTCCTGTGCCGCCGACGGGACGCAGACCGGCGCCGGTCCGAGCGGAGCGGCGCAGCACGGAGGACGAGGAGGCGCAGCACGGAGGACGGAGAGGCACATCACGGAGGACGGGGCGGCACATCACGGAGGACAGGACGGCACATGACGGAGGGGCACATCACGGAGGACGGGGCGGCACGGCACGGAGGACGGAGCGGCAGAGCACGGAGGACGGAGCGGCACATCACGGAGGACGGGGCGGCACATCACGGAGGACGGAGAGGCTCATCACGGAGACGGAGAGGCACAGCACGGAGGACGGGGCGGCACATCACGGAGGACGGAGATGCAAAGCACGGAGGACAAGGCGGCACATCACGGAGGACGGAGGGGCACATCACGGAGACGGAGCGGAACAGCACAGAGGATGGAGCGGCACATCACGGAGGACGGGGCGGTACAGCACGGAGCACGGGGCGGTACGGCACGGAGGACGGAGCAGTACATCACGGAGGACGGGGCGGCATAGCACGGAGGACGGAGCGGCACAGCACGGAGGACTGACCGGTACATCACGGAGGACTGAGCGGCACCTCACGGAGGACGGGGCGGCACATCACGGAGCACGGGGCGGCACGGCACGGAGGACGGAGCGGCACATCACGGAGGACAAGGCGGCAAGGCACGGAGGACGGGGCGGCACGGCACGGAGAACTGAGCGGCACATCACAGAGGACGGAGCGGCACATCACGGAGGACGGAGCGGCACATCACGGAGGACGGAGCGGCACATCACGGAGGACGGGGCGGCACATCACGGAGGACGGAGCGGCACAGGCAGGTGGATGTTCGGGCCGTCGGATAGAGCGTCTTCAGAGACGGGCGACGGGGCGACGGCTTTCCCGGGAGACATTCAGACCTTCCGACTGTTGGCTGGTTGGGCAGCCCATAAGAAACAGCTGGCTGTTGTCGCTGTCTCATCAGCACGGATCTGGACCGTCCGTGCGGCCAGAGTTCAGCTCGTGGGCGGTACTTTGGCAGACGGACGTCGACTGCGTGCCTGATACGGTAGCCACACAGCCAGCCGGCTGGACAGCCAGACGGCACATGAGACAGCCAGACAGCCAGTGGAAGAGATACCCAGACGACAGCTCGGGACAGAGGAGGACAGCCGGCGAGACTCTCCGCTGCCCACAGCGCGAGCGAGCCCGGAGCAGCCGGCCAGCGGACCGACCGGGCCGTCCGTACCCCGGAGCGGCTCCGGCAGCGCGTCGGCGTCGCCCAGCAGCGCGCGCAGGCGGCGGTTCTCGCGCCGCAGTCGGCGGCCCTCGGCGGCGGCGGCCGACGAGGCCTCGCCGGACGCCGGCTCCCGACGCCGCTCCGTCAGCTGACGACGCAGCCGCATCAGCTGGCGGAAGGCGCGACAGGCCGGTGAACGGCAGCGGGCGGTGGACGGCAGCGGACGGGGGACGGCAGCGGACGGTGAACGGCAGCGGACGGGGGACGACAGCGGACGGAGGACGGCAGCGGGCGGTGAGCGACAGCGGGCGGGGGACGACAGCGGACGGGGGACGGCAGCGGACGGTGAACCCCAGCGGGCGACAGAGGGCAGCGGGCGGGGGACGAACGGCAACGCTTGCCGACAGTATGGCGGTCACGATCTCAAGTTCGGCTGTCCGTGACTTTCGGGCTTATCTGACCGGTTACCGTCAGCTGTTGCACCGATGGTACGACATCTCGTCCAGCACGAGGCATCATTAAGATCGATCTCAGCACCTCTGTCACACCTAGTACGCGTCGCCGCCGGCGCCACGTCATCAGAGCGCTCGGAGCCACCGTGTCACGCAGCAGCATTACCGGCACGCCGGCTCGCCTCGCCGTCGTCCCGTACCTCTCGGTAGTAGACCTGCACCTGGAGCCGCATCTCCTGCAGGCGCGAGGTCCTGGTGTCGGCGCGCAGCCGGCGCACCTCGTCCTCCTTCTCGCGGAGCACCTGCTCCAGCCGGAACACGCGCAGCTTCAGACCGGAGAGGCTGGCGGCGCCGCCGGCGGGCTCACACTGCCAGCAGCAGGAGCGCAGGCGTGCGTCGGTGACGGGGGACGAGCGGTGCGGGCGTCCGAGAAGGGAGCAGCAGCATCACTGCGGCGACGGCTCGGTCTGTGCGCGAGCTCAGAGGGCGCCGACGCGGACATCCACGGGCGCGTCGGCCCCCGGGGTGTTGTCAGCCGCACACAAACGGGACAGGGGCGCCACGCCAACCCGAATTCAGCAGCGCCCCATCCAAACGCACCGACCGATCGCTTCGCAGCCAGCAGCCTCGCCGTCGGTGCGCCCCGCCCCGCGGCCCCGACGCCGTCTCCGACACGGCCCCACCGCGCGCCTCACCTTGGCGGCCGCCTCCTCCAGCCGCCTCTCGGCGTCGCGGTAGTGCCTGCCCAGCTCTGCGCGACACTTGGCCAGCTGGGCGCGCAGCAGCTGATTGTCGTCGCGCAGGTCGGCCGCCCGGTGACGCAGCAGCTGGATCTCGTCATACTGCTCCTCCTGACGACGGGCGGCGGCGCGGTGACGACGCCGTCGTGGGACGCCCTCGCCGAGGGCACAGCGGGGGGGGGGGGGGAACCCGCGGTACCACATCACTGTCGTTCGCACCACTCGTTGCTGGTACCTCGGACCAGTGACGTGTTCAACATCGGTGGACGGCGCGTTGCGGTTTGAAGTTGTCGTTTCCACCCGACACCAACAGCGCACGGCAAAGCTCAGAGGCACGGCGGGCCAAATCCTCACATGGCTTGGAAATACTGTCCAGGGTTATGCGGGTCTGCCGTGCAGAAATGGTCAGGCCAGCAGGGACAACATCACACAGCTGTACAGGACGCTCGCACTGGGGAAGACTGCGACTGCTGCAGAGATACTTTTATCCCAGAAAGTTCTGCATCGTCGGTTACTTTGGGATGCGAGCAGCGAACGACAGACAGGCATTAAGAGCACACTGACTTCGTTCACTAACAAACGCCCTCGTCATGCCCCACAACCTTCCAGTGCAGCCGGCTAGAGGCTCGTTTCCGTACTAGGCCTTAGGGCAGAGCTGCCGACAAACCTTAAAGCTTACGTCGGCAAACTATTATCCTGGTCAGAAAGAGGATAGGATTTCCTTTACGCTGAGTGGTCTATAAAAAAACGTGCGAACCATAGTTACGACACCGTCTTGGTTATTGCGAGTGAGGCATAAGGACAAGGCCTGCTTCGGTTTCGAGACGCCGCGGTTGCTTCTAATGATTTCGCAATCGGGTTTGACCAGAATCCATCTCGTACGACTGACTCCGGCTTCGACCTTGTGACATCTTTAACAGCTGGCTTCGGCTTCGAGCAAGCTTTCAGTCACGACCCCTGCGTCGGTTCCATGCAAACTTGCACTGCGAGCTTTGGCTTAGTCATGATATCTTTTCATCACAGTTGTGTAATTATTTACAATCTTGCGGCCTGCCCACTCGTCCCAATATTCTGCATATTTCTATGACCGTGACACCTACATGGTTGAAAGCCAAAACTAGGCGGTTACTTTCAGGACCAATGAACACGTGACGACCGGAAAAAGACCTGTCCGAAACCTTATGTACAAACTGCCACGCAAGACGAGGAAGGTATTCCCAAACAAATCCACCATCGGCGATGCCAACACCTTGCCTCAATATTCCCGCAAAACGCTTCTAGCGTTTCCTGACCCCGCACCGTTTTAGCAGACGAGAAAACGGTCTGGGTTGTGCAAAAGAAGGTCACGCACAACATTCCGCTTTGGCTCCGGCTTCGGCCTCGTGCTTTAGATTCAGCTTCACGTTCGAAAAACGCAGACACTGGCTTTAGCTTCGGCTTCGCAGTTCTACATTTCAAAGCCATCGGCTTCGACTTCGACTTCGACGTCGGCATCGCGGCATTGTCTCGGCTTCGGACCGGCTTCAAAGCTGGAAGACTGACGTCATTCCCATGCCTGTGTATGGCCATCCGGTTAGAAAAGTAAGATTCATTACTGTTCGCCTTAACCGACAAGTGGCCCACACGGGGACGATTATTGCTGAGACAAGGCTGCGCGGGCTGAGACCGGATACTGCTGCGACCTCGCATGGCGCACCACGCTCGTGCATGGAGGCGTAATTCACATCCCTTCACATCCGTGTCGAGAACTTAGCGACAGTCGCCTCTCAATTCCAATCCTTCCGAACGGCTCGCCAACCGTCCCCATTTGATTTCCCCGACGCCGCCGCGAAACAGGCGGCGAAGCAGCCGGCGGGCTCCACCACACGCCTGTCGCCAATCTACAGCCGGGCCCAACGCGCGACTGGCACCGATCGAGTGAGGGGGAGGGGGGAGGATCGAACGGTCAATCAGTGGCTCTCCCCCCCCCCCCCTCCCTACACCAAAGCTAACAATACCAGCGTTCCAACTTCGGCACGTCAGCACCGCCGTCCGGGGCCGGGCGCTCGCCCCCACGGGCCGACGGGCTAGGCCGGAGACGGCTGGTCCGGACCAGCGGACTCGGCCAGCGCTCGCCAGCTGACGGGCTGGGCCGGACCAGCAGACTCGGCCAGCGCTCGCCGGCAGACGGGCTGGCCCGGACCAGCGGACTCGGCCAGCGCTCGCCAGCTGACGGGCTGGGCCGGAGCAGCGGACTCGGCCAGCGCCCACCGACTGACGGCGCCCATGGACATGACCCGCCGTCTGCACCGTCACTGATCGGAGGCGGGCGGACAGCTGAAGCACTGCGCTGCCCCAGAAAGCCTTCCGATAGCTGATGGCGGGCCCGGTCAAGCGACACTCAGCCAATACGGCCTTCCGCTCTCATTGGGGCGGAAAACTTGGAAGCGACGTCGACGTCGAGTCTCGAACCTGACCCGTCGCCGGTCTGGCCGAAGCGCTCTACCCTGCCGCGCTTGCGGCTAGACGGTGTCTCGGCACGCGCCGGCCGCCAGCTGGCGTCGATCCCGGCGCCCCCCGACGGCAGATGGCGGATGACCGGGATTAACTCTCACTTTAACCGCGACGCGGCACCACGGTAGTCCGTCAAGCCTTGAGTCACTCGGCCGTCGTGCCGGGAGTACCGCGCTCCGCAGATTTGGTCGCACCGTCGCACGACTCGGTCGCACCGTCGCATGACTCAGCCCCACCGTCGCACGACTCGTTCGCACCATCGCATGACTCAGTCGCACCGTCGCATGACTCGGTCGCACTGGCCTGCTACCTGGCTGGCAGTCCGACCGCCGCCCGAGGCCCATCACATAAGCGCGTCAGTGAAGCAGAGCCTGGCGCTCCTGCCATATGGCGAAGCACCTACCATAGCTACCACAGTCACCACCCACCATACCAAGCTGTCCGCTCTCGCATGCCCATGGCACGCATCCATACTGCCGCAGCTGAAGGAGACATTCACACACTGGAAACAACACCAGCAGTTGACATGTCCAAAGGTGTCAATAACTATGCTAACCAATCTCTTTTAAGCCAACTGTCAAGATCAGCATGGTAAGCATGAAATCGGACTGCCCAACAGATGTTGTGGCAGGACACGCAACACGAGGAATGGTGTCAGGGGGTCAAGTAGTCCACCATTCACCCTCTGCAAAAAGTCAATGTGAGGGACAGTTAAAAAATTAGTGGGAAGTCAATGTTTCCAAGGACATGCTGACTAATCTGTCCAAAGTCAGCAATCATGAGCTGGTCATTGACAAAACATTTTGCATCATACCTTGCATATGGTTTGCAAGAAATATCAACAATGGTGACATAGGCATACATCAAACCCACTCAAAATCACTATAAAATGACTGTGCAAGCTTATCAGGAACTGTACAGCAGCAGTACCAGCTCACATACCTGTGACTTGTATACGGGCTTGCCATGAAGCTGGGGAGTGGACTGCACACGGATCATCGGCCTGATTCTGAAATACAAAATGGCGTGCATGATGCACAGGATTTTAAGGCCATGTGAATGCTAATGTTTGGATTCCTAGGCATTCAACATAAACTGAGAAATGCCATTGATGCCAGAAATATACTTTACATGAGCAGTTATGTACTGCAACCACAAGCCATGTAGTGCAATGGGCATCATCAATGTATTCCAGAAAACTTGATTTGTTCATCATGAGCAACTGAGATTTTTTGCAAATATAGATCAGTTAAAGGGGGCATTTCACATTCATGTGGGGTTTCAAACTGAAATAGCCATTTCGAAGATCTTTCAGTGCTGTTCACAATCCTGACCCTCTCAAGACCTAAGCCCCTCTAGTTCTGGAGCTACATGCCCATAAAGCCACCTTGGCATTCATGACATCAAAAGATTACCATTAAATCCTGCCATTCCATAAGCAATGCAAACATCATGGCTGAGAAAAATATAGTGCCCAAGGTGGCTTCCCTGGGGGTGATTTTTGGATATGATGGCTATCAATTGGCACTCAATCAATGTTGTGCAAGGTATGATGACATAATCAAACAATGACACATTGTAAAGCATATCTACTTCAAGAATAATTGTGGTATCTACTAGACAGCACAATTTTTTTAGACAGTGTCTAGATTCTAAAACAGACAGTGTCTACATTGTCAGACAGTGTCTAGTCTACTTCTAGACAGTGTCTAGAGCAGTCTTTTATACTAAAAAGTATATTAATAGTTAAGAGTGAGCTTGTTTCATCAGATATGGTGCTTGCTTTAATATCTTCAAATGTGAAATGTTCCCTTTGAGATGGCTGCAACAAGACAGCAAATAACCAAAACTTCTTATTTCAACACACCGCAATATAAAATTGACCTAAGAGTTGCAACTATGGCATGTTGACTAAAAGAGAACAAGAATTGTGACTGAGAAACAAAAAACAGAAACATTTCAAAATGAGGTGGCTTATGATGCTTTCCATTACAATGCTAGTGACAATGTAACAATTATTTTAAAAAAAACATTTCATTACTATAAGGGGAAAGCTAAACATAATCATTCAATATCACATGATGATTGCATAACTCATGAGATAAGTCTGTGATGCAATGCAAGGCTCAACATGGTTATGGCAGGCAGTGTTTCTGCCAGAAGGGCTGGGCTTAGCATGAAACTACAGCCCCATCTCCATGTCTCAGGAAAACAACCGACTTCTTGCATCCTGGAAAGTGCCAGGACAATCAGGACAATCTAAGGCCTTGACAATCTGTTTCATTAACCTGTAGGTATGACCAATAAACCTCTCACCATTCATTTATTTCCTGTGCCAGAAATGGTAATCAGCTTTGGGATATCATGCATATTTTATTTTAATGTCATGATGCTGTGATATTCTCTATTTTGATTATTGTTGTTACTGTGCACTGCAAAACTTTAGGGCAATCCTGTATTGATAGTTCCTTGGTAAATTAGTAACTTAGTTCTTGCTCTTACATGTTTGGCATGACTAGCACCAGCATCACCACAACACTTTTGGTACAAACAAACCACACATCTCAGCATTCATATTTGGTTCACAATCACAAACAACTTCAGCACATAGAGAGCCAATGTTTCCAGGAATTATGTCACTGAGCTTATTTTAAGCAAAAGAACTCCATAGGCATTTTCACACAATAGTTCTTTGGAAATTCAGATCAATTGCCCTGATCTGAGCTTGGCACAGACAACCCCCAGGTTAAAGACACATATGTTGTGTGGTCAACTGGCACAGTGGATGGACTTTAGAGAGACCCCGGCATGAGAGTACATCTCAACTTGATTTACTCAATTGGTGGGAGTGACTGGCCTGGCACACCACGTTACATGAATTCTGAACAGGCACAGCTGTCAGAGATAACGGCGCACATACACGCACTTGTCATATTGCAGCGGGTACGCACACGAAGAACCTCCTGGCACGCCAACATGTGTGCAACCATCTATTCAATATTGGCGGCACGAAATGGCAGTAACTAGACACGCACGTTTTCAAATGCCGTATCATATGCTTGCGAAAAGATAGGACAGAACGAATGAAACAAGTACAGCGATGCTCTCCAATCGTCGAACTTTGATTCGGGCTCACCAGGTTTCGCAGCCCCGATAGGCCGCGCGACACCCTCACGCCCGCCGACCGTCTGCTGACGGTTGGTAAACAAACGGAGGCATTTATGCTTCCATTCGGGCTGCCATATCCCTGGCAAGCCCACAGGCAATTCCCTCCGGATGAAGGAGATTTGGCGAACGCCTGGCGCCTTGACAGGGATGAAGGGTGGTGATATCCCTGAAGCGTAATTAAGCCAGTTTGCTTTTCAACAGCCATGTGATTTTTGTGCAGAATGGAATCGGAATCAGGTTCAGGGCCAGTTAAATTGTCGCCAAATCAGGGCTGGAATTGATTTCTTCGATGTTCTTCTTCGAGGTTTTCTGATCTGTGATTCGGAGTTTAACTGGAACCAGCCGAATTAACGGCGAGCCAGTAAGGCCACTGAATTGGAAATAGAACAATGCATGCATCGGCAGGGATGCATGCAGAAGGCAAGACATCACGTTCTCTCCTTGGTAAGAACCGCTAGAAAACGACAAGGGCTCCATTAGTTGGTTCGAAGTCAGCAAAAGGCTCGTTAACACGCACTCGGGTGGGGGTTAGTTTAACGCCGAAACTTTCTACAAAACGTTTTTGACCTAACGATCCAATGCCATTTTTAGCGCTGAATACGATAACGGTGACTTCTATAGGCCTACGTCTCAGCTGGGCTCTCAAAAAGTCGCTTTCACTGGAAAAAATCGAGCAGTTCCCAGGCATTCCGGAATAAGATTCTCACTTGAAATGTCACTGAGTGATTTGTTGGCCACCTTTTGACTGATAAGAATTTCAAAATATTTCCCCTTCGACAATACGCTTAGTGTAAACGGAATGCCGTAAACATGCATTTCGCCTTTTAGCGGTTCGTCTGTTTAACATAGCGGCGAAGAGCATTCCGGTGTTTCGTAATCGGCGACGTCAGCTGGTGATCCGGCTGTTAAGCTGAGCGTCTGGAAAACCGGAGGCAAGGGTTCCATCTGCCGTGGTGCCCGCCCTTCCTGTCAGGGTGTCAGGAAGGCGACGCCATATAGTCTCAACTGCTGAGTACGTCATAAAGCTCCAATGGCTCACACATTCGGCAGAGGGGTGCTCAGACGGGCAGCTGCTGAGTACCGCGCCCACTGACGGCTGATACATGCATACATGCATACATGCATACTGATACATGCATACATGCAGCTAGCCTCGGAATGTGAGGGGCGCCGCAGGGATGGAGGATGGAGGGCGGATCTTTCTGCCGCTAGCTGAGTTGTTGGCTCGTCGGTATCGGTTAATACTAACCAAGCCAATCGCCTGATAATGTGAACACACCGCGCAGCTTACTCCGCAACCGATAAGCCTTTGGTCCTACGGATAGCTTTGCTGATAACATCGCAGCCGCAGGGGTGCGGCTAGGATTTTCTTAAGGTTGGGCCCGGACTTTAGTGAGCGCGCATCACACCAAATTTCAGCTTTCTGTCGGTAGCCGTCTATGGTGAAATGAAAAATAAGACCTCTACCGGCCTCTACATATTCAATCTGATAATCCAGTCTGATAATAAAACCTAATATTCAATCTGCAATGGATTAGAGGCATACTGACCTCTAATCGGCTTCCCTGAAAATAAAAGGCCTTCCGTCCTCTCATGTTCGGAGCTACTTCACTAAACTCGATGCGCACAGCATGAAGGGAAATATGCGTTACGGAGAAATGAGAAACACGAAATATGCAATTCTGAGCCAGTTAGAAACATGAGTTATGGGCATTTTCCCAATTCGAACCTGGCATGCATTTGAGAACAAAGTTACAGCTCAGCGACACGACATATGGCTTTCTACAGGTTACAAATACTCCTATGCCACTAAATAGCTAATCTGATTTTTGCTAAATTTGGTTTTTGTCGATATACAAATAAAAATTTCTAAATGCCGCTAAACTTAGGTGAAAAAACCAGGATGACGGGATGTAGATGGCAGACCGATAGGCATCTTCCTCCTGACTCGCCAAACTCACACAAGTTTTCGCGGCCTTGTGGCCAGTGCTGTCCGTCCTTTTTTCTGCGTGCTACGCCGAGCTGACGTCAGAAGTACAGCTGGATGCTGCTGTGCATCTGCAGTCCGGCTGGGTGCAGATGCGCAGCTGCAGCACGGCCGGCTGCTGCTGGGCAGCTGCAGAACGGCTGGCTGCTGCTGGGCAGCTGCAGCCCGGCTGGCTGCTGCCGCGCAGCTGCAGCCCGGCTGGCTGCTGCTGCGTGTGCTGCGCCGCTGACCGCCCGTCTTCCGCTTCACGCCGTGCTGGGGGCCGAGCAGCCCTCGGGGATGTTTGCGTGCCGTCTGCGGCGCGTGAAAGACTGCAGAGAGGCTTCCCGTGCGCGCGCTTCCGCTGGTGGAGCTCCCTGCCCGGGGTGGAACCGTTGCTCGCGTGGGGAGCAGGCGGCGGTGCGAAGGGTTTGAGGTTTGGTGTTCTTGCGTTGATGGCGTCGGTTTGTTACTGGTGTTCCAGCCCCAATGCGTGGTTCGTGTTCTTTGTAAGCTAGCGAATTGCTTACTCGTTCTGTGAGAAAAGCGGCTTAGTGGCCCGATTAGATATAAGTGTAACTGTAAGTCATGTCAGTGGCGTTACAAGCAATACAAGTAGTCATGCTCTGTCGTGGTGCATGCGAATTCTTGCATGCGCATGGTGTTCGTGTCGATGTTGTCACGATGTGTGACGTTGTCACGCGTTTTGATGTATGCTGTTTCACAGCATACATCACGCATCATCACTGAAGCATCGCGGAATGGGAACATTACATTGGACATCAAGGAGAAGCGCGTTAACGGGGAAGCAAAGTGGTGGAAGTGTCGTTTATAGCGAATGCTCTACAGTTGAGAGATTGAAGCAAGCATCAGATATAATGCTTGCTTCAATGTCTCAATGCAAGTTTACTTGCATTCACATGCCCGTTTATGGTGTTATTCTTAAGTTGTTCGATTACAAGTCTGACGTCCAGCTTCTCATAATATCTAGCAAAAAAAATGTAACTTGTGATTGAAACTTGTACAGCGTGCTCAACGATGACTGAGAGCCAATCGAGGTCCAATATCTTTAGGAATCATGCTCGCGGGGCCGGATCTGAATAGCTCGACGATAATTATTCCTGGCATTGAACGTTTACCAGCCGATGGCACGACAGGATTTAAATGGCTTTGCTACAGCTACATGCATGTCTGAACGACCTTGAAATCGTCTGCGCATCTTCGCGGCGGTGTAACTCATAAATTAGACGGTTTTAGGCTTTAAAAATGGCAGGGCTGTGAACTGCACCGGAGGATTTTCAACATGGCCATTTCAGTTTAAAACAGCATACAAATGCAGACGGCCGCCACGTCGAAGACGCCGAGGTTTCAGGTGCACTTTATTTCATGACCGCCCGCCGCCAACACCGCGCCTCAACTCCTCGTGGACGCTGACAGGGAAACAACGAAACCTCGGAAATGGACAGACTAGACCTAGAACTAAACAGATCGGATATAGACAGAACAGAGACTAAAATTAGCAATACAAAATGGATACGGAAATAGCATGTGTAACTGTAAGTCATGTCACTAAATTATACCTCAAGATGATAGCGAACTAAGCGACTCAACAAACGCGAAGCGAGCACTAAATCAAACTAGACATGTAGACGGTACACCGTCTACACAAATATGAAGCACTTTCTCTAGCAGAAAGGCTTGTTTAAAGCTTCTTTAAACCTGCTATATTTCGCTACGTTTTTCGGCACGCGTCATGCTGGCTGATGCAGCCCCCAGACAGCCACACGTACGAATTCAGCTCAATACTAGTGCACGTGACGTGTGGCACGTGCACCCGAAGGGGCAGCTGACGCGCTCGCGTGGCAGGTCCATTCCTTAGCACGGAGCGGCAACCATGCGCGGATCGTTTGATTCGTTCATTGTGTCGAGAGTCCAGCTGGGGTTCTGGTGATTCTGTACTGCTTTTAACGTGATTTTTCTGTGAACGGAGCCGCCCATTGGAAGGCCCGACGGAGACAGCGGAGACGATTCCTTACCTTCTCAAGGCAGTCTCTTACCTGGCTTGGAATCAACCAAATTTCCGTTGAGTCGGAATGGAGTCAATTCCTTTCGATCGGCGTTGTGACTCGGATCCGGAGATGAGCCAACCGGATTGTCGTTAGGTCGGTTCAAAGATAAACATCAATGAGAAAAATACTGCTACATAGTTAAATCAATATCGTTATCAAGGTGTAATTGGTTCAAAGCCTTATGCTGAAATTACTGCTCCACGTAATATTTTATGGAATATAGAGGATAGTTTACCTCTCGATTCCTCTCACCGCTGTCGATATCACTTCTCCTCCAGGTGAGGTTTTATGGAACGTTAAAAGCGATCTAGCTCTGGATTCCTATCACTGCTGTCGATTACACCTAAACCGATCACAAAATGGAACATGTTATCCTTCAGTCGTGATCGCAACCACCCCCCCCCCCCCCAGGGTAAGCCGCCTACCCCGCCCCCCCCCCCCCCCTCCGCCGTCCAGACCACATGCAAGAGACCGTGGTCAAGAAGTCTCCCATCTTGTGTTCCTCCATTGCCCCTACGCGCTCCGTGCGCGACTTCCACGCCGTGCATATTCATTCGCATTTTATTTCACGCACAACACTGCATCTGTAAATCTGCGAGCCTCAGGCCATTATCTTGCTAACATTGGTGCGTAGCTGGTGCATCCTCCGTTCAGACAGGGCACGCCGGACTGTCGACTGGCATGTCGACTCCACCTGGGGTTTCAGGGTGCACACACTGCTGTAGGTCATGCAGCTCGAATGCACCTGCGTATTCTTTGTACGCCTTCGCTGTTTTACGCTTGAGGTTTGGGAGCAGCTTGGCCCTCGCCTTCGGGAAGATCTGCAATCAAGCGGAGGACGTGAAAGAAGGCCAGCTGAGAGTCAGACGTCACTGGCGTCAGTAGTGTGGAAGCCGTGCATCCTTAGACCGCCTCACGCCTCTGACGAATATTCCTGTCGAGCGTCTCCTGGCTTGCCGGTGAGGACCGTTCCTGTGGGCTACGAATGATGACATCTTTAAGGATAATTTAACTTTGCCGAGTTGAATGCCCCAGCCTTCCACATATGTCACAGCTATGACATTTGGGGGAGTGTGGATCCAGGGCGGTGACAAACATTTCCATTGTATGAATGGAATTCCTATCACCGATCCACCAGCCTTTCCAGACGGTCAGCCGGGGTGTTCTTACGTGGCACTTCCTCTCGAGGAGGATGAGCAGGCCGGCCGCGACCGCCACAGCCGAGAGGACGAGGCCTGCGACGAAGCCGGCTGCTTGCGACGAAGCCGTCCTGGCAGCCGAACTCGGCTGCCGTCAAACTGGAGACGGGCCGCCCGGCCGCCGCCCTCGGCTTCTCACACCTGCGGCAGTACGCCCGGCCGGCCTTAGCGCCGGATCGACCGGAGATGGGTGTACGGGTGCTCCCGGAATGTGTCAGAACCCACCTCAGGTAGGCCGGATTTTGGTCGAATTCAACAGGTGCAAACACACCGAATACAGGGATGTAGTTTACTTTTAAGTTGAGGGAAGGGGGGGGGGGGAGGAAGTTCCAACTGAGCTACCCCAAATTGGGCTCCAGCTCCCCACCCAAATGTGACCCCCCCCCCAAAAAAAAAAAATCAGCCTTATCCTCGTTAGTGGATCCATTCGACCCTTACCTTATCTTCCATCCATGGTGTTACGAATTCAAAATAGGCTAACACAACAACAGGCGGCAGAAAGCTTAATGGCACCATGACATAACTTCCAGCTATCAATTCACATGCGTTTACACTCGAACTTACACCACGAGTGACTCGTCTTCGAGGGGGAAAGCGCCGTCAGCTGCCCAGGCCATGTCGCAATCACAGATCCACGGGTTCTGCTCGACGCCGACGAACTCCATGCGCCCCCAGGGCAGCAGGTCGCGGCTGACGCCCGTCAGGTTATTCCCGGCCAGGTCCACGCTCACCTAGCCGGGCCAGGTGCTCGCCCGAGACGGCGTCCCTGAACGCAGCCGGGTGCACCTCGGCCAGCGCGCCGCCGGACCCGCACTGCAGCTCCTCGAGCTGGTCCAGCCCGCTGAAGGCGTGCGCCTCCAGGCGGCGCAGCGAGCGCATCGAGCTGAGGTCGAGCCGGCGCAGGCGGGGCGCCGCCGCCAGCCCGGCGCTCGGTACACTCTCCAGCCGGTTGCCGCTGAGGTCGAGCGTGCTCAGACCGGGCGCCGCCGCCAGCGTCTCGCTCGGCACGGCCGTCAACTGGTTGTCCGGCAGCAGCAGCGTCTCCAGCAGCCGGCTGCTGGCGAACAGGTCAGCCGGCAACGCGGTCAGGTCGGCGCCGCCCAGGTCCAGCAGGCGCAGACGCGGCACGAACAGGAACAGTCTAGGGGCAAGCGTCACCAGCGGGTTGTGGCGCAGCCGCAGCTCGCGGATGTCGGTGTTGACGAACAGCAGCGAGTCCAGCACGCGCAGCCGATTGAAGCTAAGGTCGAGCTGCGCGAGGTCGTATACACCCTGCAGCGCCTTCAGTTTCAGCTCCGTCAGCTGATTGTGGTCCAGCAGCAGCGTCCGTAGTACTGGCAGCCCAGCCAGCGCCCAAGGGTCAACCGTCGAGACCAGATTGTGGGAGAGGTTCAGCGTCGTCACGGCCGGGTTCCACCGAAACTGGCCCCTCTTCACCTCCGTCAGCTTGTTTTCGCCGAACGTCACGGCCGAGAAGCCGCCGGGCAGCGTCAGGCCGACGGGCAGGTTGTCGAGGCCGCGTCCGGCGCAGTCGATGCTCCGAGGGCCTTGCCGCTGCCGACGACCGCAGTTGCACGTGGCGGCCAGCGGCGTCGCGTCCGTGCAGATCAATGCGGACGTGCCGAACAGCGTGTCAAACATGCTGCTGTGGACACCCGCAGCCAGCAGCGAACAGGCTGCAACCAGGCAGCGTATCATCCCAGGTATCTGGAACTACGGACAGTGATAATAAGTGCAGCATTTGAGGCACATGAATGCGTCCGTATAACCATGACATCAAAAGGCGCAGATCGCAACACGCATCAATTTTGCATTGCTCACTGCGACTCCCTCACGTCACAGTTCCTGGAGCTGGCCTGGCCCGCAGGGCGGACTGCAGCCCGCACCGGGAATACGGCCGGCACTCGAGAGAGGGGCGTGGGGACATCTGAACCGTAGCTCTTGGATACGTGATCATGTGGTGCACGCTGTAATAACCGCCTCATCCAGCTCAAGGCTACAGGCAAGGCGTGTGCTAGTTCCTCCAGCCTCGCGCAGCGCCTGCGCGAGTGGAATAAAGTATGCTGGAGAACGACAAAATGTCTTTTATCATTGCGTTACTAATAACACGAAAAGTTGTTTTTGAACATAGACAGGTACAAAACGTCCAGAATGCGAACCTACTCCAGTGTGATTCCCGCCGACGTCGCCTATCAAAAATCATAATTTGAAGAATTGCATTCCTCCGGATGAACGTCCGCTGCTGCAGATGTGTGTGATCCGTGGCCGGAGCATCGGGTCAGGGACTCCAGACTATACGATGATCTAACGACGACTGTCCTCAGGCGTGACGCGGTGTCACGCGGGCTCACGCTCAGACATCTTTGGCCATTCTTCTCACGAGAGACAGCCACTGGGCTGCCCTATTCACTGTCGTTCATAGCCTCGTTGACACATTATCTACGGCCGCGACCGCCGGGCGCCAGGATCACGCTGATAAGATGGCTGGCGCCGGGGGTCACGCCGATAAGACAGCTGGCGCGCGATGCGTCATGTTGGGTGCTGGTAAAACATTCGCAGCCATGTTGAAGGTGTCTGAAGGTGAACGCTGGCATCACTCGCGTGTTTCAGACGTGGTTTGTTCGACGATTTATTCGGAGACGGGCTCATCAAAGTGGAATCTGCCTAGTTAACATTTGAAATGATTATGTTTTCGGCTAATTATCCTTTCGAATGAGTTACATTTTGATAACATGCGCGCCGTAAAAAGCATGTTGTTAACGCTCGCCCGGGTGGTTGGTTGGATGCCCTTTGCTCGGGTGGGGGTGGGGGGAGGTCAATTTGATCTCCTGAGATCTCGGGAACTAAGAGAGCTAAAGACAACATATTTTCAGGGCGTTTTGGCCTGAACGTGAACTTACTTGCGTCAAAGTTTTAGGTTCCTGGGTGACCTTTGTTGGGCCTGCTTTAACCTCCGGGTCAAATGAGGTCCGACGAGGTTTAACTTCAGGTTGGTTTCCAAACTGTCACTAGAGCCTAGATATCTGCCCTAAACAAAAGGTCACATGCTCATTTTAATACAGTGACCTTTGTTAGCCTTTTGAAGGTCATGGTGACCAAAGTCCAAGCAAAAGATCACATGCTCATTTAAAGTCAGTGACCTTCTTGGACCTTTTGAAGGTCATGGTGGCCAAAGTCATACAAGATTGCTCTAAGTTTTGCATTTGAATCGGCAACAAAGATTACGCTGGACAGTATATTCCTAAAAAAAGTGTCGACCTGGGTCATTTTAGGTCAGTGACATATCATGATCTCAATTTTTGATACCAGACCATCAGCTATTCAGTTGTTTACAGCTATGCAATATTTCGCGTGGCTACGCCGCACCGTTCGGAAGCCATTCCGGAAAAACCTTGGCGGGGGGGGGGGGCAATTTGATCCCCACCCGAGCGCGTATCAATATAAAGTTCGCCCTGTAGCCGTTGGTCTGCTAGCGTGGTGCTTTAACCGTTTAACGACAAAAAGACTTGGCGGCAAACAGCATTCGCGTGCATTGCAATCAGCGAAGTGGGGGTGCCGGTAGTGCGGTCGTTCACCTGTGCGTCTGGGACACCAGAGGTGTGGGGGTCCATTTCCTGCGGTGCCCACCCTTCCTGTTAAGGTGACAGGCAGGCGACGCCATGTAGCCTCAGCTACCGAATGCGTCGTAACGCCCCAATGACCCACACATTCGGCAGTGAGGATGTTCGCACGAGGAAAGAAGCGAGGATGCGGGCTCATGGCCTCTGGCTTACCTTTCGGCCGTTAGCTGAGTTGTTGACTCGTCGGCATCGCGGGCCTCACTCAGCCAACCCCTAATGCTGTGTATACTTGTCTTGCACCTAGATAGGTAGTAATCCTGCTGATAGCACCAGCGGCAGAGCCAGGCGTTCCTTAACCCTCGCCCCGATAGCGCGCGTCGATGCTCCCGCAAGGCTTTTTATGAATACATCTCCGGAATGTCACGAAATCGCGCCCATTTTGCGATAGCCTTTGGGGCATTTGTTGCGCGTGTTTCAAACCACGAACATGTCCCTAGAATTTCTGGTTTCGGTGCAGCGGTGGTGTTGAAGAGCACTGCCTGGTAATCTATGGCCGGCGCAGGCGACGGGCGGCAACCGCGAACACCCGCGCAACGCGCGCGGTGGGCCGACTTTGTTACATTAATGGAGCCATGCATCATAAATTTAAGATTAAAACAGATAACAAGTTAATGTACTCAAAGCTGGACAAGGAACGCGCCCGTTGTGCTTTGATATCGCTACACGGCATGGTCTGGTATGTATAGTATGTAGGCTGTAAAGCTGACGAGTACCATTTCGTGGGAATTTGACGTTTGACCTGGCATAATGGGGCCAATAATAAATCTAGCAACACAAAACATGTTAACAACCACGAAATCCTGTTACGACCTATTCACTGGTATTTTCTGCCAAGCTCTACTTTTATTATATTTTAAACAGCAGTGGAAGGGATCACGTCGACGCTCCCTATCAGTCCGCGTTGTGAAGAACGGTGGATCAGGGTGAGGGCTAAGAAGGGGAGGGGGAATGCTAGAGACATGTTTTTAGTTTCAAAACACGCGCAACAAATGCCCCCAAAGGCTATTGAAAATGGGCGCGATTTCACGACATTCCGGAGATGATTGATGATTTCACGACATTCCGGAGATGACTGATGATTTCACGACATTCCGGGGACAAAAATACTACAGTGAACGCACATCAAGCTGACTTAGCCTTATGTTGCCAGCGTATGTCAGGGCGCCGAGCTCTAACTTCTGTCTCGAATGCATGCGAGGTGAACTTTTAGGAAACGAGCTTCCGCAACGCCTCGTTCTTTTCATACTATGTGCATCCGGTCTAGCCCAGCAGCTCTGAAGAAACATTAGTTATCGATAAAAATAGATGGCTGAGAAAACAGGGTTCAAAACATAGATAACTAAAACGCATGCTTGAAATAGGTATAAAAATCCCGGTGTAACAGCAAGGAGATGATGGACAATCAAATTCAAGGTAAAAGCAAAAACCAATGTTTCTTAGCGTCGCATTGCTCCCGGACGGAAGCATTTGAGCAAAAGCTCGGAGTCAGGAAATGAATCTGGCTGATGAGCGGCTCGGTGCAATAAGGTGTTTGTGCAGCGTAGTGCTGCAATAAAACTCATATCATGCGGTTTGTATTCTCAGCAAACACGTGGCACGAAATCCTCTACACAACGGTTTGTGCAAACATAAAAAACAACAAACAGACATGGCGGTAAAAAAACGGGAACCGAACTGTGAGCTCAGGATTTACAGTCCGTTAAATAGACTACTGTTACAACCTTTCCGGCAGTGTCATTTACCATGTAACCACTCGACTGGAACAATCACAAATTTAATAACCCTAACCTAACCCAAGAAACTACCCTGCAAGCTTGCAATCGATCAGCTTCACTGAAAAAAGCAGAAAGCGTTAAACGCGTGTACACACCATATACTGCTGCGATAAGTACATCAGCAGGTAGTCTCATTTTAATAGAATTCTTGTGAAAAAAATCCTAAGCAGTTTTCGCTAGTAAGTTTGCATCTGCTTTCAATCATTTTTTCCCCATAACAGCGTTATGTTGCGCACAATTAAGCATATGTTGTTTTTTGAAGCGTATTTAAGTATCGAATAGGTTCTATATTTTACTTCTTCGCATAAGTGACAATTTTTAAACGCCGAAATTTTTGCCCTTATCTTAGCTGCTTCTTAACAGGATTTTGAAACATCCACTGATGCTCCGCGCTGAGACGCCTCACTTGCTACGCGATAACTCGGCGACTGGTAAGTAAAGGAATTTCAATAAGGTTTTTATTTGCTCTCCATTTAGTCAGTTCTTTGATTTCTAATACAAATCACCTTGTAACAAACACCCTGCCTCGTTGAGATCTTTCATTCTTTTGCTGAGCGAACAGCTCGGACTGTTGGAAATATTCGATGCCGTGTGCCATGTTATCCATATGGTAATGACATCCGGCAGAATACCGCATAGAAAAACTATATACCCATGTGTCATCTTGAAAAATACTCCTCCAAAGAAATACTGGATCGAAAATGGATGTGGCCTAGAACGGACACGAGCAACCGATGTAACTTAGAGAGAAAATTCCCTGTGTTATAGTTCATAGCTCCAGCTATAGGTTACACCGAATTAATTTTACTTGTTATGGTTCTGCAACATTAACCACATTGATCACCTCGCGGTGCCCATACCAAGGCATATAACTTCGAATCTCAATCACCACCGTTACTGCGCAACATTTTCCTCTAATATATGTAAGTTTCGCGACACCAGACCACTTAAAAGTGTCATTGCCATTTTTAAGTGAAGCGAGGGGATCTTTCGTCTGTATTTCAGTATAGTCTGTAACCTATACAGTTGCAGCATAATCGCCTGTAACCTATGATATATCGCCCGCCATCAGGATACACTTGATCCATTAGTTTTAGGTAGGTAAGGTTGGATTAGGTTAGGCAGATGAGGTTAGGTTAGGTGTTGTAGACTTGCCTACACGCAATACTTGCGCTGGACAATGGCAGAAGATCGGCATACAGCTTCGTATTGTGGCATTCCTTCCACATAAACCCATGGAGAATGT